TCCAAATTACTGAACAAAAAAATAATTGCAGTTGATTTTTTTTGAAGCTCAGGGGATCAAAATATAAATGGATGAAAAGACGTTAAAACCGCTCAATGAACAATGCAAAAAATGGCTGAAATATAATACCACCCACCAGAGATAACTTTTTTGATTTCTTTGAAAATTAAAACAAAATTCGGTTATACCAGTTTGAAAAAAAGTAAGAGTGCTCACTCAATATGAGGGTATTTTTTTTCGCGCCAAGGAAAATTGTATTGTTCAGCTTACGCTAAACAGGAATATATCAATGAAGAATAGTTTCCGCAACAATGTATTCTCAATCTTAGAACGTTATTTTTTGTTTTGATCATGCATACCATAGCAAAATATCACGTGAAAAAAATAATTTTTCATCTTGTTTTGATTGGTTTGATATTAAAAAGACCTCCGTTTTTTTATAGAAATTTAGTTCATTCATTCATCTCTCCAAACGACTTATGACTCATTCAACCAACTATAAAATTTCGATCTCATTCATTCCCTTACTGAAAAAATGAAAGGTTATTGAAGATTATTCTTCAAATACTATGTCAGTAAATGAAAATTTAAATTTACTGCTGAAAGTATTCTAAATACAAAAGTTTGATCTCGTTTTTGTCGTGCAATCATGAAATCGATTATTAGATTTCTTCCTAGTCGTATGTCGTTTCTTGGTCGATGTCTTCTTCCCATACCGGGTAGTTCTCGTATTGTTCGGAATAGTGGATCTGATCTATTGAAACGCAGAAACATATCTATTAAGTTCTTATCATATATCATTTTTATGAAATGTTGTATTTGTCTAATTCTAATCTAATTTTCGTCTAATTCTAGGTTAGTTAAGGTCTGTTTGTCGTACTGTACTCATACATTAATTTCAGATAGGGTACACCGTCTGCTCGTCACGCTATCTTATTTTCGGCTGGATAGATTCAGGCAACTTCTTAGTCTTATACCAATCTTAATCTTACTCTTATATCTCCTAGTCTCAATAGATCTAGTGTACACCGGTTTACACGAGTTAGTTCCAGAATGAGAACAACTGTATTCTAAGTTTAATTCAAATTGTTCTGGTGTTGAAACTACAAGTTGTTTCACAACTTTACAAATAAGTGAGTTGTTAGTTTGATGGAGTATGATTGGTTAGTATTTAATATTTTATAGAGATAGAATATCATAATAATAACCAATGATGAATACTATTATAGATCTGGTTCCAATACGCAGATATGTGTTTATTCTCCTAATCTAGAAACGACCAAATGAATTTCCTCGATCCATTTTGGAATGTTTTAGCTCAACACTTAAGCCGGCTATTAGAACGCAACATGTCGCCCGTTCAACATGTCCCAAATTCGGAAATTGAGCACTTTCAATCCACATTACTAAACAAAAAAATATTTGCAGGTGATTTTTTTTGAAGCTCAGGGGATCAGCCGTTTTAAATGGATGAAAATACGTTAAAACCGCTCAATGAACAACGCGAAAACTGACTGAAATATAATACCACCGCCAGAGATCACTTTTTGATTTCTTTGAAAATTAAAACAAAATTCAGTTATACCAATTTGAAAAAATGTAAGAGTGCTCACTCAATATGAGGGTAACTTTTCTCGCGCCAAGGAAAATTGTATTGTATAGTTTACGCTAAATAGGGATATATCAATGAAGAATAGTTTCCGCTACAATGTATTCTCCTTCTTAGAATGTTAATTTTTGTTTTGATCATGCATATCATAGCAAAATATCACGTGAAAAAAATAATTTTTAATCTTGTTTTGATTGGTTTAATATTAAAATGACCTCCGTTTTTTTTTAGAAAATTAATTCATTCATTCATCTCTCCAAACGACTTTTGACTCATTCAACCAACTATACAATTTCGATCTCATTCCTTCCCTTACTGAAAAATTTGAGACCTATAACTTGAACTCAGGGGTTGGATTTGGATGTGGTAAGGTGGGGGCATGACATCCCTTAATCCTCATTAACTAAAGGTCTGCTTTTGGTACTAAACTGCGACATCCATTTTTGGCCAATCAACCCTGAGATTTTTCTAAAATCTTTTTAGGCGCCATTTAATTGGAGTTTTGGAAGAACGCGTAGCGAAAAACAAACTTTTGAAACCTTTTTTTTCCAAAAATTGCATAATAACAACATTTTGACTGTTTTTTATTTAAATTTGCATATGGCAAAGTAATTTTCAGCCAATTTTACTCTTAATAGTGTTTTAAGAGAGCTCAGAAAAACCACTTGATCAGCCTCGAAAACAATTACGCCCTCTCACAAAAGTACGTCCCTGCTTGGAACAATTATATAGAAATTAGATTAATTCATCTTTTTCTAATAAAATTTAGGCGTATTTTGCCGCTTTCTTAGAGATTGGGCTCATTCAGCTGTTCCTATGCAAAAAAAGACTTAACTTTAAACAAATTTCAAACCGCGGGGAATTTTTTCTTTGAGCACTGATTTTCTGCTTAATTTTGAAAGAAGAGACCTAAATTGGCCAAAAATCTGGGCAAGCGGGTGCGTAATGCGTCAACCTTTAAACTGTAAGCTCGATCATTTTCTTGGTATGAAAATTTTGATTGACGTTTTTTACAAGGAAAAAGAGTACATACATTTTTCTAGAGTTTTTTTTATGTCAAGAATCAGTTTCAATTTAGTTTATGGATCAATTTTTTATTACAGAACAAAATCTTTTTTAAATTTTTGTTGTTCACACAGTTTTCATAGCATGATTTTTATGGCTAGCATTTTGTAAGAGAAAGCGTAATATCGGTTTTCTTGATTTCTTATCGCCAAAATCATTTTTGAAACCATTGAATTAAGGGTTTCAGTTTTGAACATCCTCGGATTTGGTTGAAACTTCTTTTGTTGATATAGAAGAAATTACTGTTTTTCAGAAATTACATCAATATAGTTTTTTTTTTACAAGACTCACGAGTGGAGGTTAACCATGTTGATCTGTGTATCCTTAGACCTGAGATAATTTCCGAGCGTGAGATGTTAATCGGAATTTAAAATCTTACTGAATTTTATCATGTAATTTCAACTACGTCAATTTTTATGTTGTTTTTTTTGTTTCAGCTGCAGCAAAACTGTTCAAAATTCAAAGAATGAAGTGAAACAATTATTGTTTTTTTTATCAGGAAAAATTTTTTGATGTTCGTATAACTACACGGACTGACTAAATAGATTCGGATCAATAAAAATTTTAAATTGATCCAAAATGATTAAAAATTTACATTTTAGGAACTGAAATGGATTTTAAATCAATCTTTCTTGACGTTTCTGTATCAGTTCAAGTGTCTAAAACTTAAAAATAATTTGGATGGATTTTTCGATTCATTAAAATCCGTCCGAGTCTCAGTTAAAACCATCTGATTTTTATTTAAATCCATTTTAACCCATTTTAAAAGATCTCTGAGCACAAGCTTTCAAATGTCAAAAACATCCATTTCAAATCAATTTTAATCACAGCAAAAAAAAACGAGTAATTAGAAAAAAAAACTATTTGAAGTGTTCTATACTTAATTTTAAAAAGACACACTTGCTAGTTGTAATAGAGTTCAAAAAATTGTCACACAAAGAACAGATTTTGGCGGAAAAAAAAGTAGTTTAAAAAAAATAATTGAAACATTTTCATCTCAATTTTTTAAATAATAACACAATTGCTAGATGTTAACGAATTCAAGAAAATGGTCCAAAAAATCAGACTTTTAGCTCAAAATTATGCAATGAACTCATAGAAAATCATCATTGCAAATCAGATTAGACAGCTTCGACAAAATTTTATCTAAAAAATTTTAAAAATGGTCATTTTAAATCATATTTTGGAAATCTTAAAATATTATCAATTTTTCAAAACTAATTTTTAAAACTATTTTTTTTGCTATTATACGCTATGGATGTAGAATGAAAAACATAATGCAATAGATTAATGCAACACAAACTCAAAATTGATGAATTTCGAACGAAAAAAAACTCGACCTAAATTAATTTAAAGTCTGTTTTAATTCCCTCAAAAAGCAATTTCAATTTAATACTGAAAAAAAAAAATTTAAATCGATTTAAATTTGATTACGATCGATTTCTCAGCTTGGATTTCAGTTCAACTTAAATCGATTTTAAATTGATCCAAATCAGTCCTAATCTTTTCTCTTCAATCTTCCTATTTTTTCATAATAAAATCGATCTGAATTAAATCTACAAATTTTTTTCATAATAAATTTGAACCTAACCCATTGTTGTCAGTGCGGGTACAAAAGAAAGTTCGTACATGTTAATGCAATTTTGATTGCACTTAGATAAATGCGCTCTCTTGTAATTAAAGTGCGCTCTCTAAATACAGATGCAAAAAAGGTGCAAAAAACTTGAAAAACTTTGTTTTGAAAGTAGAATTTAATTTTAAGATTCGCTTGCGGAATGAAAAACCCATGGCTTCAGTTTCTTCAAGTTGGGTTAATTTTACCATAACCAGAAATTTGTCGATCATCAATTGCTCTAGAAATTCCAATAGCTTTAAGGCAATATGTTTTTTTTTTCTCGCATATTCCAAAATTGAGATTAAAAAACAAGCAGTATTTTTTTGCTGTTTAGTTGCCTGCATTGACTTCTTTCCAACTGTCTGTTGTCTACGTTCGATTAGCGAACTTTTTTCATTCCTGGGTCAAAGTGGGTGTTTTGCATTCAGAATTTCATTGTCCAGAAAAAAAGTTTGTAAAGTACAATTTCGTAGCTCTTACACGTGGTCAACGTCTATAAAAAAGTCTGAACATACCTGAGCATATTTTCAAACTGAGTAAATTATAATGAAGTCCTATACGCAACCTTTAATGCGAAACACAGATCTAAGAAATATCTCGAGTTACCTTCAGTGCATATGTCTTCTCCAAAAGGCTTGAAGAAAATCTCGAAGGAAAAATCAGACAATCTTATGTCAAAATTGACTTGAATTTTGAAATGTTTGCTTTCAGATCAGCCGTCCCATGCGACCTTCTACACACCCACCATAAATGTCACGACCACCGACTCCCATCATCTACTGCTACACCTCGGCACTAAGACCACACATGGGGGGATGGGGGGCATCATTGGGGCATCCCAGTTAGTCCAAAACGTGAACTGCCGCGGCGGCAATAAACCAAAAACCTCAGCTGGAAGCTGCAGTCAGAAAATATCAGAGAAGAAAGCCAAAAAGGGAGTTGTCTCAAGACTAGACAGTTTTGCCAAAAACGTGAGGATAAACGGTCAAGGTCAAAGTCACTCTCAAGGTCAGCATCAGAGAGCGGCGGCTTCAAACAAGTCAATGGTTTTACGCGACAGAGACCGAAATAATACAGTTCGAATGCTTATATGTGTTACACTGTGCTTTGCCGCTTGCTCATTTCCGAGACAATTGCTCAATTTTCTGGGCTACTTCGGCTTTAGACGTCATGAACCGACTGAAATATGCTTCGCCGTTTTCGTTCTGTTTCTGAATTCGGCTCTGAACCCATTGATAATAATCGTTTTTTCAAGGTCAATACGAGCCGAGATCCGAGAGTTTCTTGTGTGCTTTAACAACGGACGCGCGAGAAACGAGAGGAATTTTATGGCTATGCAGTCGCAACAGTGTTCGTCGCGTCAGAATAACCAGCCTGCGAGCACACGGCTAGTCGACTCTCGAGCGACTGCAAATTGATTGCGGGTCAATTTACCCAAAGTTACGCTATGTCCATGGAATGCAAACGCTTAACCATTGAAAAATGTCTTTATGGGGACGGAACTTTTTACAGCCATAAAGGGCACAACAGTAAACAAAATCCTCTTTCCCAATAATCATCCATAAATATCCCTGAAATATTTGTATTTTTTTTGTAATATTTGTACTGTTACTTTTTGTTCCGACAATTAAAAATAGGTAGGAATTTTGTATTCACGTGGTTTTAGTTTGTTTTTTCTTTTTTCTTTTTTTTCTTTTTTCCCCACGCTAACGCAGGTATCACTAATAATCATCGGAAAAGGTCGAGTGATATATCATACTAAAACTATTTCATTCGTGATTCGTATGAATTTTTAAAAATTTTCAAATCATTGTCCTTGTGTTGAGAAAAACTGGTTTGAAATTTTTGATTTTTACTCGCAATAGGAGATAGTTTTCTTTAATTTTGAGACTTGCAATAGGAAATAGTTTTCTTTAATTTTGAATTTACGCCGTGAAATATAGTTTTACTCAATTTAGTATTAATGTTTTTCTGCGCTGTTTTGGGAATAAACAAACACAAAAATTCAAAAAGTTCAAAAAATTTTTTTTAATGAGTTTCCCAATGATTTTTTTTTCAAATTTATTTCTGTAAAAAACTGTTGACCAATTTGTTTTCTTCAGTACGCCTCTCAAATATGATTAAGACCAAGTTTTTCGTTCAGATTTTTTTGAAGAGGCACTGCGCATAGTGGTAAGGCGTTCACTCTGAAATCGTCAGATCGTGTAATCGATCCCATGCCATGGCAATGATAGCGTGAGACGACGAGCGGTCACTTAACCTCCAGCTTCAGGTCTACACTAGCCTGACCAATTTCGGCTGCAATAGTGGTACTACGTGAAAATTCTAGACGCAAAAAAACGGCCTTGATCCACAAAAAAAGAGCTTCGCTCAACAAAATAACACAGTCTGGAATGTGGGGAGATAATACAAAATACAAGTAAACTATCCTCGACAGGACTGCTTAGGCCTACTGATAGCTCCTGTCCGATTCACAGGAACCACATTGTTATTATTATTTTATCACCAAAGCTGGAAAACGATAAGAAGTTGAAAAAAAATATATTTTTTGTAGATTGTTTTGACCATGGTCAGAACATTGGCGCCCGGCCAAACATAGGCGACCGGTCAGAACATTATGCTTCCTGTACATTAACCAATTTTCTTTGTTTTTCTCGATATTCTTCTATGTCATTTCAGTTTTAATTTCACGGCGCAGTATTTTGGTTTTGTGGAAAAGCATATTTTACATCCAAAGCGTTTCTAGTATTTCAATCAAACTTCTTCAAATTTCTATGTCCGATTAACTTCCAAGCTTAATTAGATTCGGTGTTGTAAAACCGATAGCTATTATCACACAACGGTGATACTAATTACCAAATTGTTCCATTTTGCATGATCTTTGAATTCAATAGTTGTTTTTAAGATTTTTCAATAGTAAAAAGTAACGAGACTGCTCGTATCAAGCAAAGGCTTGAATGTTGCAACTGCCCTTCAATAGGATTTATGTACTTCTCAGAAAAACTTATCAAATTGATATAAGATCATCGTGAATGATTTTTGGAAATCCGCCCATACACAATTTCACAAGTTTTCAATTTTATAAAAGTTATAAAGTTATAAACTTTTTGTCTTGGAATGCAATATTTGAATCAATTAGAAATTTTACATTTAAAACGAAAGGTTTTCAAAGCAGAACTAATTGCCGCTTACGCTACGCGTTAAAAAACTTAAAATCCCAATTTGGCCAATTTCAAACCCCATAGTTTCACAAAAATTAGACGTCGGTGAAACTCTTTTTCAGAGTTTTGGAAAAATTTTTTGAGAATTTAAAATTTCAAAATATCCTTCAAAAATTGCCTGTAAAAATAGATTAAGTTCAAAAAAAATGAGCTAAAAAAAAGCAAGAGAGCACAAAAATTCATGTTTTAGAAGTGGCTGCACTTATTCTACATTCTTTTTATAAATACATTTCATGACTCTATAAAAAAAACATGCAGTAAAAAAATTGAAGAAGCAGGACTCTTCTTAAAATTAAAGAGCTTGTGCAACTATAAGGTGCAAGAGCTTTATTGTTAGGGTGGAACCTTGAATATACGACTTTCCTTTTAATTAGAATTTTTCAGTTTGTTTCAAGAATGGCTTTTCGAAGAAAAGTTTGCTGCCTCAAAATGCTTAACGTGAAAGTTATACTCTCACGTTATAGATTTGCCAGGAAGCCAAAAATTTTAGGTGAAGTTTTGCTCATTACAATTTGCCATTGTATTAAAGAGGGTCAAAGGAATACACAAATTAATTTTCAAAACTCCATCAAAACTCTGGTCTCTTATCGTATTTAAATGGAATTGTTGATGTCGTTTTTCATAGTCATATTATGGCCACACAAATTAATACCAAAACGTTTGAACGAACCAGTACAATTAATGGATTGTTATAGTTCTCACTAATGAAATTTTTACTTAGTCATCGATTCGTCTTCTTACGTCTGAACTCAACCCAATTTGAAAACATTGCGCCCGAGATATGTAGTTTGTACTTGAGTCTAATTTATCCAAATATTTACTTTACGAGGCTTCTCCATACTGTGTCAAGTGAAAGGCGTGCCTTTGGATTCCACACAATCGCATAGGCACACAATTACACACACACGATTTTGTGCGTCTTAAAAAGTTACAACTTCGTAAAGTCCGAGTCGCGCAGCATACCGTTTTCAGACTGGGTTTGGCATCGCGCTGCGTGCTTAAGTCGCAACATCAGTCTTTTATTAAGTCGCACCGTCAGTCTTTTCTTAAGTCGCTCTCGCCGCTTAAATCTTTTCTTAAATCGCACCGCTTAACTCTTCTCTTAAGTCGTGCCGTCAGTCTTTTCTTAAGTCGCGCCGTCAGTCTTTTCTTAAGTCACGCCGTCAGTCTTTTTTTAAGTCGCGCCGCTTAAGTTTTTTCTTAAGTTGTGCCGCTCAAGTCTTTTCTTAAGTCGCGCCGCTTAGGTCTTTTCTTAAGTCGCGCCGCGTAAGTCTTTTCTTAAGTCGCGCCGCTTAAGTTTTTTCTTAAGTCGCGCCGTTTAAGTTTTTCCTTAAGTCACGCCGTCAGTCTTTTCTTAAGTCGCGCCGATTAATACGTTTCTTAAGTCGCGCCGCTTAAGTTTTTCCTTAAGTCACGCCGTCAGTCTTTTCTTAAGTCGCGCCGCTTAATACGTTTTTTAAGTCGCGCCGCTTAAGTCTTTTCTTAGGTCGCGCCGTCAGTCTTTTCTTAAGTCGAGCCGTCAGTCTTTTCTTAAGTCGCATCGCTCAAATCTTTTTTTTTAAAGAAAAGACTGACGGCGCGACTTAAGAAAAGACTTGAGCAACGCGACTTAAGAAAAGACTTAAGCGGCGCGTCTTAAGAAAAGACTTGAGCAACGCGACTTAAGAAAAGACTTAAGCGGCGCGACTTAAGAAAAGACTTGAGCGGCGCGACTTAAGAAAAGACTTAAGCGGCACGACTTAAGAAAAGACTTAAGCGGCGCGACTTGAGGAAAGACTTGAGCAACGCGACTTAAGAAAAGACTTAAGCGGCGCGACTTAAGAGAGGACTTAAGCGGCGCGATTTAAGAAAAGACTTGAGCGGCGCGACTTAAGAAAAGACTTAAGCGGCGCTTCTTAAGAAAAGACTTAAGCGGCACGACTTAAGAAAAGACTTAAGCGGCGCGACTTGAGGAAAGACTTAAGCGGTACGATTTAAGAAATTACTTAAAGGAGCGACTTAAGGAAGGATTTAAGCGGCGCGACTTAAGATAAAACGGACAGCGCGACTTAAGAAAAGACTTAAGCGGTGCGACTTGAGAAAAGACTTAAGCGGCGCTACTTAAGAAAAGACTTAAGCGGCACGACCTAAGAAAAGACTTAAGCGGCGCTACTTAAGAAAAGACTTAAGCGGCACGACATAAGAAAAGACTAACGGCGCGACTCAAGAAAAGACTTGAGCGGCGCGACTTGAGGAAAGACTTAAGCGGCACGATTTAAGAAAATACTTAAAGGAGCGACTTAAGGAAGGACTTAAGCGGCGCGACTTAAGATAAAACGGACAGCGCGACTTAAGAAAAGACTTAAGCGGTGCGACTTGAGGAAAGACTTGAGCAACGCGACTTAAGAAAAGACTTAAGCGGCGCGACTTAAGAGAGGACTTAAGCGGCGCGATTTAAGAAAAGACTTGAGCGGCGCGACTTAAGAAAAGACTTAAGCGGCGCTTCTTAAGAAAAGACTTAAGCGGCACGACTTAAGAAAAGACTTAAGCGGCGCGACTTGAGGAAAGACTTAAGCGGTACGATTTAAGAAATTACTTAAAGGAGCGACTTAAGGAAGGATTTAAGCGGCGCGACTTAAGATAAAACGGACAGCGCGACTTAAGAAAAGACTTGAGCAACGCGACTTAAGAAAAGACTTAAGCGGCGCGACTTAAGAGAGGACTTAAGCGGCGCGATTTAAGAAAAGACTTGAGCGGAGCGACTTAAGAAAAGACTTAAGCGGAGCTACTTAAGAAAAGACTTAAGCGGCACGACTTAAGAAAAGACTTAAGCGGCGCGACTTGAGGAAAGACTTAAGCGGCACGATTTAAGAAAATACTTAAAGGAGCGACTTAAGGAAGGACTTAAGCGGCGCGACTTAAGATAAAACGGACAGCGCGACTTAAGAAAAGACTTAAGCGGTGCGACTTGAGAAAAGTTTTAAGCGGCGCGACTTAAGAAAAGACTTAAGCGGCCCGACTTAAGAAAAGACTTAAACGGAGCGACCTAAGAAAAGACTTAAGCGGCGCGACTTAAGAAAAGACTGATGGCGAGATTTACGAAAAGACTTAAGCGGCACGACTTAAGATAAGAACGACGGCGCGACTTGAGAAAAGACTTAAGCGGCGCGACTTAAAAAAATACCTTAAAGGCGCGACTTAAGAGAAGACTGAAGCCGCGCGACTTAAGAAAAGATCGACGCCGCGACTTAAGAAAAAACTTCAGCGGCGCTTTTTAAAATAAGACCGATGGCGCGACTTAAGAAAACATGTTTGTTATTGTGCTCAGTTGCGCATGTCGCGGCGGTTTATTCTCAGCCGCGCCGATCTGAAATTGAAAACTTTCAGTCGCGCCGTTCGCTCCATTACTTTAGATTGCGCCGGTTCCGACGGTGTG